TCTGGCCGGGACCCAAGTTACAGCAGGTCACCCCATCTGCTCGCTCACAGCCTCCAGCTCAGCCATGCCGGTCCCCTTCTCTCCCCAAGCAGGCCCCCCCAGGCCAGGCTTTGCCCCCAAAGCGGCAGTGCTGGGGGCCTCCATCCTTGGAAATGGCATCTGCTCCACCAGCACCCAGAGGTTTTAAATTGTCCACCTCCCGCCGAAGCCTTTATCATCCACCCCAAGCCTCGGGGCACAGTGGGACCCCACAACATCTCTCCTGCCTACAAGGGGTTTAGGGCCAATTTACAGGGCTTAACTATTCCCCAAGTTCCACCACTACCGGTGAAACAACGGAGCTCGTCCCCTTGCACAGCTATGTATCACCTTTGCTGTTTCAATAGCAGCTGAGTAGGCTTCTCCCTAAGAAGCAAACCCCCCCAAGTAATTTTTCTCTCCCTGGCAGCATTACATGATTTCTCCCCCCACCCGCTCCACACAGAAGCAGCTTACTGGGAAAACCCACGCGCAGGGCCCAGCCTGCTCCAGGAGGATCTGAGCTCATGCCAGGACCGATGGCAACGCTTGCTGCGGCAAAGCCGCCTTCTTCCCAGGGCTCTGCCGGCAGTCCGGCTCGCGAGGAGTCGGGCACGCCGCGGCAGACCACAGAGCGGATGAGATTCGCAGATGCAAATCCCACCACGTTTCCAAGAGCATGGGGATTAATCCGTTCAGCCAAGAGAGCCACACACATTAAACACTTCCAGTTTGCTGGGAAATGTTTTAATGCATCTTTTCTTTAGATTTTCGTAAGACAACTTGGAAGAGTTTAACTAACACGTAGGGACAAGACAAGAACACCCACGCGTTGCCAAGGGCTTCTGTCCCACATCACAACAACATGGTGCCAGCACCAGCCCTCCCAAAAGCCAGTAGGCACCATCCCTGGTCCTGGTCCAACAGGCTTGTACCAGCAGTGTAACATTTCTTCCAATCTCAGACCTTCTGGCTCCAGAGGCAGTTCTGCGAGCTCCCTCTCTCAATGGAGAGTGCCTCCTTCCTTTAACGCTAGCCAGGAGGGACACCAAATACAGCCCGACCTCTACCCACGGCCAGGTCTCTCACCCGATGAGGGTACGAAACCACACCACCACTTAAGAATGTGGGTATCTGTATTTGCTCCCATGTCTCACTGTATTTTCCAGTCTAACCCCAAGGCCTTTTGTTTCTTGCAATGGTAGCATTGGATTTATTGCTATAGACAAGTTCAGTAGATACTTCCCATAATAATTAGCCAGAGCCGAGCAAAATCTCAGTTCTGTGATGCTCTCACACACAGTTACTTTGGATGCTGCCTCCGTTCAGCGTGCCAAAAGCTTTGAGGCTTCCACAATCAATCAAGTGACCCAAGTCAGTCACTCATGACTAGGAAAAGGCACATTTCTCCTTTCTCACCACAGATGCCAAGTGGCTGAGACAATCCCCTTCTTTCTGCCACCACCATCAGCCCATTCCGCCAACCTCCCAAGCAGCAAATCCAGAGCACTCAAAGCATCAGCTGTGCCTGCACCTTCCCCTTTCCTTCTCCTGAGATTTCCAGATGCCGCAGTGGTGAGTGGCACTGGTGGAACAGGAGACAAGCAGGAAAGGGGGTGTACAGAACATGTACCCCAATGGGACCCAGGGAGGAAAAAAACCAAAACCGTCTCCCCACACCCAGAGATTCGTGTTCCTCTAGGGCAAGGAAGGACCAAAGGAGGAGAGGGAGATCCATTTAGCTACTTACTTCACATAAGGAGCACGGGCTACCACTACAAAGCAACTCAAGTTTGGGGAACCTACATGCTCATAGACAGGAAAGCACCATTGTGTTAAAGAACAATAAAAAATAAAATAAAAAAAAAAAATCACAACAGCCATCCTGAGTATTTCTGCTGCTCCAGTGCAGGATCCGCCCTCCAAGCCTGCAATTCCCAAAGAAAACACAGGCAGACTGGTGATGAGATTAAGGGCAGAGGCTGGAGGATGAATACTGCAGGCAACTACGTTCTCCACACACACACCATCCAGGCTGATCCCATCAGATCATACCACGGAGATACTCTGTACCTAGTGCTGAGCAGTAAGAGATCCAGCACAGAGCATCCTCCAGACTAACAAAGGCTCAACTTCCAAACAAAAGAAAAGGCCCCTACAGAACAGCCCAGCTAATCAGCAAGCTGACAAGCAGCCTCTCCATGCCCCTCAAGGCAAACCTCTGTGCAAAGTAATCACACACAGGTGCAAGTTAAAAAGTTTGCTGGAACAAGGACCACTCATTTGGCTGCTCCCAGACAAGGCTACACAGCCCAAAGACAGCAACTACAGATTGCATTATGCAGCTGCCAAGCAGTTCAGATCACTCTTACAGCAGGTCTTCACTTTTTAATCACCTTGATTATAAATGGAGGAATTCCCACCCTGGTCGAGCCAAGCCTCACTTGAGGAAACTGTCCTCTGCTCCTGACCAAATCCTGCTCCCTGCCCTGACGATGCTCCTCAAATGGGCTTTGCGCTCCCCCAAGTCTCTGCGCCCTCTCTCAGGATCCGCACACCAGGGCTGTGCCCTTCCTTCCCTCCCCACCGGTGCTAACCCAGCACACGCCACCCGGGACAGTCCGGCCTCCCCCCAAAAACCCCAGCACAGGAACAGCCAGGCTGGCCCCGCGCAGAGCCAGCGAGGCTCCTCTGCTCAGACACCTCATCCCACACCTACTGCTGCTCTGAAAGAAGCTATTATCTGTCCAGAAAACACTTAGATTAGCGTCTGTTACTGGCATTAGGAATAGGTGCTAATTAACTAGTTGTCAGCTGAATGTTGCTAAATCGAGAACGCAAAATAAAATTAAAGACAGGGTATTACAGCGGGCACAAAGACTTGAAGGGACTATTGTTCACTTAAGAATTTCTTCTCTTCCTGTATTTTTAAACATTTAGAAGTTGTCAAGACATTATTTGGGAGAACAACTGCAGCTATTAAGCAAGCTGCGTAATGAGGTTATTAAAAATATAACATCATTTTGAAGCCTTTGAGACAGTAGACCTCAACCTAACACAAAGTCATCACAGCTTCATTTTCCTCCCTCTCTCCTGGCTTCAATCCCAAGTCCCAAGTCCTAGCGACCTCTCAGAAGTCAGCTATGACGACGTACATGGTTTCCTGGATGAGAAACCATTGCTCTGAACTCTTGGGCAGGTACACGAAACGCTTCTGTTTTGATGCAGAAAAGCATGTTTGGTAATCCAACAGGAAAAAAAAAAAAAAAAAAACAAGCCAAAAGCTACAGACAAAAACTCAGCTCTTGAAACCTGGCATTCCCTTCTGCCTAAGGTGGTGGGCTCAGGACGAGGACTATCCCCATTTTCTGGGGGACATGACTAACCCTGAGCACAGACAGTCCTGTCTCTGGGGAAGGAAGGGAATCTGTGCCCCACAGCTACAACTCTGCAGGCCAGACCCATCTCCGGGGGAAGAGAAAGGAAGATCACGGGAAGCTGTTCAGCAAAAGACAGCGCACGTTATGCAATTCCATTTCTGCTGACAAACAACATATTTATAGGACAGGTAAAATAAACTACGTAGCCTGCAAGGCTCAGCATCCTGAAACCGGGAAGCTAATTGACCCAGAGGGCAAGGAATTGGTTCCTGATGTTTGCAAATGGGATGTCACAAAAATGAGACAATTAAATTTTAAAGCGGTAGGGAAAACAAAAGAGCAGGAATCACAATAGCCAAGACTCATAAAGAGCTGCTTCTTGGGTACAGGAAGATAATGACGCTAACCATTTTTCTACTAGATGGCAGTGTAGTGTCACACTATATAAAAGGAATTCTAGAAAGAAATTGCTTTCTATTTCAAGTGAATCTGTGCTTAGACCTGACTTCAGTTAGCATGATATATAACAGTACCCTCATTGTAAGGGGACCTGCCGTAAGTCTAGCAGTGCAATAGGAGTGATACCCTAGCTTCTTATTTCCCAGTGAAGCAATGTGAAAAGACGCTAAAACCCTGAGCTGTTCTGCTCCACGGTACAGCTGCGTGCGCGGCCACGGACAAGCTACTCAGCCTGTTACAACTGAAGGTAGGCTGTAAGCAAACAGCTCCAGGAGCAGAGGAAGCAGGTCCTCGCTGCTCAGGAGCAGCCGCCAGCTGGGCTTTTGAAAGGCAAGGGCAGCATTTAGGCAACCACCTAGCTACGGTGGGGTGAGGTGAGCAACTTCAAAGGCGCAGGGATGAAGAAAGCAGCGTCGCTAAAATTCAAAACGTAAACACAGAAGAATCAAGGTTAGGGCTAAAGGACAATGCAAATATTTGGAGGTAATTCAGCCATAAGAGTAACCTTTACTTTGCAAGGCCGCCATCCGCATAAGCTAAACTTCAGAGGTACCAAGACAGAGCGGCTCAAGGAGCACTCTCGAAGCCAACGGGAGCCCCAGCGCGCGCACCCGGGGAGCTCAGTACGACGAGGCGATTTGCCAGAGATGGGAAAAGCTCTGGGGCAAGCCTGGAGGCAGCCGGAGGACCCTCGCGTCTTTGCGTCAGCCGTGGAAGAGCCGCACCGGGCGCTCCCCGGGCCGTGGGGCTGCCGGGCCTGTCGGCGTGTCACCGTGCGGGGATGCTGACGGCCGCTGAGGACCGGGCTCTGTCAGCTCCCGGGTTCTCCCCACCGGCACTGAGGATCGCGACAGCCCGCGGGACGGCATTTAAAACACCTCACTGGCAGCACAGCGGGGGGTCAGGGTTTTGTCTGCTCGGCGGAGCCCAAGGCTCGCCGCACCCACCGCGGCAGCCCCGGGCCGGTTCGCCTGCCGGAGCCCTCGCTGCCCCCCGCTCCGTGCCGGGGTGCGGGGTACCCCCCCCCCGCCACCTCCCCGCGAGGGACGTCCCCGCCACGACGGCGCCCAGCGGGTCCGTCCCCCACCCCGGTGGAGGGGAAGCGGGTCCGGGGGAAGGCCCGGGGCCCCCGCACGGCCTCACCTGGAGGGCCGGAGCCGCACCTCCTTCTTGCTGTCCACCACGGAGGGGACGCAGTTGGTGAGCTCGGTCCAGTCGGCGTGCAGCCCGCAGCTCCAGCCGGTGGAGAAGCGGGAGAAGAGCCAGGTCTCCCGCTTGCCGGGCCGGTGGCAGGTGCACTTCTTCTGCCCGGCGCGGCACTCGCAGGGCTGCTCCAGCTGGATGTTGCGGACCAGGTGCCGGCCGAAGGTGGTGCCGCCCGTCTTCTGGATGTGCAGGAAGACGATCAGGTCGTCCCCCTTGATGTTGAAGTCCAC